AAAAATACAACCTTGTAGTGTATGGATTAGAAGAAAATGAATCTGAAATTGAAGATATCCAAAACTTTCTGAGTACCATAAACAGTAAGTGCGAAGTAGATTGCAGATTTGAAGACATAAGAGATATTTACAGAATAGGGAAGTTAGAAAACGACCAAAAAATTAGACCCCTTATCGTCGAACTGATTAACTATAAACAGTTAACTACCATTTTTGAAAATGCACACAAACTGAAGGGAAGTTCCATTGTGATATCCAGAGACTACACCCCAGAAGAATATAAGGACAGAAAAATTCTACACAAACATCTGATCTTGGCAAGAAAAAACAACTTAAACGCAAGTATAAAAAAAAGTAGACTGCACATTAAAGACAAAGTATTTTCTGCTGTGGATCTAAACAGTGTTTCCGAAGAGAATTTTGTAAAGGAAATACTAAGTTTCATAAAAAAAGACACAGATGGAAAAGGAAATGAATATAAAAGAATTACAAGACAAAATAGCCAGAATACACCAAATAAAAAATAAATTCAAATAAGATTAACTTAATTCATACCTATATAGGTCACTTGTGCAATTTGTCAACACCTTACTATATTCAATATCGACATCAATATAAAACCAATTACCTACTTATCTGAAGAATTTTTTTATGTATTATTATTTTTATCGTTTTTAAGGTATTATTTAGTAAAAAATTAGTAGATATAGGTTATTTACTATAATTTTATTAGAATTTATAATAGTCTTAAAAATTTCTGTTAGTTAATAATTATCTTACAACGACTCTTTTTAGTTATAAATAAATTGTAGAAAATGGATCAGTTTTTAAGGGATGTTACGTGTGAGATGTATGATACTTTAGAATTTTTAAATGTCAATGATTTAAACAATGCCCTAAAAGGGGAAAACAATTTATTCACTATAATACATCAAAATATTTGCAGTATGAAAAAGAATTTGGATGAATTTAATATTTCATTATCTCAATTAAAACAAAATTTTGATATGATTGTTTTAACCGAAACATTTATTAGAAATGATATAGAATATTTCGAAAAGCCGGGCTATCAACTTATATATAACTATGGTAATTTAAATAGAAACGATGGAGTAGTGGTTTTCTTAAAAAATAAATACAAATATAGATCTCAAATAGAAAAAATAGGACAATTTTCAGTAGTAGAAATATATATAACTTGTGAGAACAAAAAAGAAATATTAATAACATGTATGTATCGGTCTCCATCCACTGATAGTAATGAATTCATTTTTGAACTACGCCACTACCTTGAACAAAAACATACATTAAATATACAACAACATGTATTTCTGGGAGATATTAATCTAAATATTAAGGGAAATATTTTAGAACCCGCCTTTGAGTATCTAAATATATTGTATGAATTTAATTTCGAATCGTTAATAAATAAATACACTAGAATAAAAGAAAACTCGAAAAGCTGCATTGATCACATTTTTTTAAAAAGTAACTTTAATAATGTAAAACAAAATATCCTAGCAGCAACATTTGAAAGTTGTGTGTCAGACCATAAAGCTATAATACTACATATCCCACTAAAACCAGTAAATTGCTTTAACACTAAAGATCTCAATAAAAAAGTCATTAATTATAAAAATCTAAAAAATGATCTTCAAAATAATAATTGGAATAGTTACTATAACTCTGAAGACATAAATAAAAAATGTGATATATTTATTAATACCCTTAAAAAATTAGTAGAACAAAACACTCAATTAATAAAAATAAAAAAATCAGAACAAAAAAGACAAAAATGGATGACAGATGGTTTGGTAAATTCAGTAAATAAAAAAAATAAATTATATAAAGAATATTTAAAAGATCCCGAAGATATATTAAAGAAAACCAATTATTTTAATTATAGAGAAAATTTAAAAACCCTAATAAAAGCAGCAAAAAAAAATTATTACAGAAATGAAATTACGAAAAATAAAAATCACTCTAAAAATTTATGGAATATTGTAAATAATAAGTCAAATGAAAAAAACTCTCAAAAAATAGTAACAGAATTACAAACTCATAATGGCAGCTGCCGCTCAGTAGACAAATATGACATAGCGGAACTTTTTATTGAACACTTTAGTAATATTGGTAAAAATTATGCTGATAAAATTTCGAAACCACAAACAACACCCCCAAAAAATAAAAACAATGTAAATTCTATATTTTTATCTGACACCACTGAAAACGAAATCGGAAGCATAATAGATTCACTTAAAAATAATAAAGCACCAGGCGTAGATGGCATAAAGGCTGAGATTTTAAAAAATATTAAATATGAAATAATACCACAAATAGTTCATCTTATAAACTCTATATTTCATGTGGGAAAATGTCCCAATCAGTTCAAAAAGACCACTATCTTGCCATTACATAAAAAAGGCGATAAAAGCAATATGTCAAACTACAGACCAATCTCTTTAATAACAAATTTAACAAAAATATTTGAAAAAACCATAAAACAAAGATTGATTACATTTTTTAAAAAACATAACTATATTTCAAAATGTCAGTATGGGTTCCAAGAAGGTTTATCTACCAGCGACGCAATAGTGGAATTAACAAATACAGTCTATCGGTTAGTTGACGACAGTAAACCAAGTATCTGCGTATTTCTGGATCTAGCCAAGGCGTTTGATACTGTTTCACATGAACAGCTAGTGGATGCTTTGGAGGATGCAGGAATACGTGGCCCAGCACATGATCTTCTCAAGGATTATTTAAAGGACAGGCAGCAACAGGTAAAAGTTAATGATGTTGTCAGCCAATTTCACACCACAACTTATGGTGTCCCTCAGGGCACCGTATTGGGTCCACTTTTATTAAGTGTATATATTAATGGTCTTTTCGATGTTGAAGTAGAGGGCAAAATAATCAGTTTTGCTGATGATACTGCTGTCATATACAGCAGTGACACATGGGAGAATTTAAAAACAAAAATAGAGTCAGATTTTTCAAAAATTATCGATTGGTTTAGACATAAAAAACTAACAATTAATTTTGACAAAACCTATTTTATGCCTTTTAGTAGTTATAAAAATTCTTTGCCACCATATAACGAAATTAATATTCCTAGCTTGCAAAATATTATTATAAAATACACCCAAGAAATAAAATACTTAGGTATTAAAATCGATTCTCACTTGAAATGGGATGCACATGTTGGAGACATTGCGAGGTGTTTACGATTGCTACTTTCAAAGTTTAAATATCTAAAATCAATACTAGAAATTAACCAACTAAAAATAATCTATTACTCACTCGTAGAGTCAAGATTAAATTACGGGATTCTTGGATGGGGTGGTATTTTACAAACACACCTAAAAAATATAGAAGTACTTCAAAGAAAAATTTTAAAAATCATTTACAATAAAAAGATGGACCATCCCTCTGACTTACTATTTTTGGAGAGTAGGGTCATGGATATCAGACAACTATATGTTTATTCTATTATATTGAACATCTATAAAAATAAAAATATATTACGAAATATAGAACACAACTACTCTACTCGGTTAAAAAATAAAAATTTCGTAGCTACTGATATAAGTGAAAAAACAATTGGACAAAGAAATATTCTATATCTATCTTCTAAGATATTTAATTACTTGCCCAATATGTATAAAATTTATATAACAACCATTAATTCATTAAATATGATTAAAAGCATCTTTAAAAAATTTGTGTTAAATTCAAACAGACAGGACTTTCTTGCTATTATTGACCAAAAAAATAATTAATATATTATAGATATAAAAAAAAAAAAAAAAAAAAAAAACATAAAATTAATATACAGTTGTTAAACTTACCTTTCCACTACTCACACGTTTTACCCTTTTTATAATTAGTTAATTACCTGCTTACTTACTCTCAACTTTTAGTTACATTTTTACAAGATTGTATAGTATTATTTTCTATATTTTTATAAAATCTAAAGAAATCATAATTATTAATAATTTTATTGCTCGTGCACGACCACATCGGTTTTAACGAGCTAAAATTAATTAATCTGTCTTTTGTTATGTTAGTTTAAACTATCTCTAACCTTATATTTATTCTTAATACTATCTTTGTGAAAAAAAAAAAAAAAAAATTGTAAATTGTAAATTAATCTGTATGTTATGAATAAATATTATTATTATTATTATTATATAAAAAAAAAATATTTAGAATAAAATTCACATCATAGTACCTAGTTAGTAATTAATCATAATACATATTTTAAAATAAAAAAGGTAATACAAATTACTAAACGTCTGCCTCTGCCTCTGACGTCACACCTTCGCGCAGGGTCGAGCACGTGGCTGTACCAATCTCATCTTGGCCGGCGGCCTCTACGACACGCCACTAGAAAAATTTATTTGTTTGGCAATTTTAATATCATTAATTGCTTAAACTTGAATGAAAAGTATAAAGTAAACAAACATTTATTACTCTGGAGTGAGACATGTATATAGATTATTTTATGCGTAACTCGACCTTTTAAACATGCAATTGTTCCATTTTAATTTAAAAAATTACTAAATCTGTACAATTGTTTTCAAAAATAGTTATTATCTCATTTTGGTATTCACAAATGTCCTGACCATAACTTTAAATATTTATGAATGTCAGAAAAATAACAATGTTTACATTTTAAAGAAGTTTTGAATATGTTCAGAATTCACAAGTTCAAAAACTAGTCATAGGAAAAACTTTGTGCCCATGTACACTTTTAATCAGGATGTCAAAAATAGCAATGTAAACAAAGCCATTTTCCACAAGAGAACTGCGAGGTCCTTACTGCATCTCCTTCCTTACTAATGCAGCTATTTACAACATTTTAACTGGACTTTTTTTTTAATGATTAGCTCCACGTTAACTAGTATCGCTAGATTTGTGATCCCTAACTTTATATACGCAGGCATACAATGGAAACTTGCCGCACATTAATAATAAATAATTTTTTTTCAGGACAGAGGTTCGCCATGCTGGAGTTAAAAGCAGCGCTATGCGGAATTTTGAGAACATTCCGATTGGAACCAGTCGATAAAATAGAAGATTTGAAATTTAAAGCTGATTTAGTATTACGAACAGCTAAAGAAATTAAAGTAAAATTTAGACCAAGATAAATGAATATATTAATGGGTTGAGATATTACATTTTTACATTCATAAAATATGTTTATATATTTAAAATTTTTATTAAATATCCTAATCATTCACCATGTCGTAGTATTTTTTTTTATTTTTACAAGCTATTTATTAACCTATGTTTATTTTTATTTGTTTAGGTCAAATCTTGCAAATGAATTTTAAAACAGTTATCCCCAACCGATTGAGCTGAAATTTTGCATACACGTTTAGTGACGTCATTCTAAATCCAATATAGTGGACTCCCCAAAATGGCAGACTAGTATTTTTTATGCAATCCCATGATTATAATAATAATAATAATAATAATAATAATAATAATAATAATAATAATAATAATAATAAGCTTTATTGTCTAACAGCATTAATAAGAATTAATAAGACAATTGAAATAAGAATATTATTACCCTGCACCCTGCAGTAACCTGCGGCTGTTATAGAAAAAGGAGAAGAGAGAGAATATTCTATAAATGTCATTCTATGTCGAAAACATCTGGACGGTTCGAGAATGTTCTAGAAGGTTAAAGTGAGCTATATAAGTCGATGATCCTGACGTCAGAGTTTCAATTTTATGATAAACTTTGTACGTTATGTTACCCTACCAGTCGTATTCGCTCTGTGCGAAGTCATGGGAAGGGAATCAAAAGCGATACTAGCGCTAGCTGCGGATAATTCGTGCATTTTAGGGGGATATTTTGTAATTTTGGCATATCAAATACACGTATACATTTTACTTTTTTTCAAAAAAGTAGGTAAAAACAACACAATAAGCAACCGGAGTTGCTGTGTTGAAAATTGTACAAATACTAGCAAAAAAAACAGTGAAACTTATATAACAAATTTCACTAACAAAGTGGAAATTATATCAAAGAAATAAATGGATAGGTGTACAATAAGAAGAAAAATTACCTTTATTTTTGTGATAATAACAGTAATGCTGGAAATAGTAGACATCAGAAACTAGAAAGTTTTTAAATAAACAATAAATTATCATTTTACGATGTTCTTTAATATCCCTTTATTCTTAAATGTTCATTCAGCAAGGACTAGATTTCAAGATTTCTGCCGTTGATTATAATATTTGGCTGGTATGCAATTTTGTGACTTACTGATCGGAAACCAGTTTTAATCATTCATTCTATGTTTTCTTTAGAACAAAAATGAAAATATAAGTAGCGATCCTTTTTATACATTTTAACTTCACGCTATTATAAATGGTTTCTTCAATGACAACTTATTAGACTTAGGCAACTTCTCATACATTTTCCAGTAAATACTGTTGCCTGCCTATATTTTATTATTGATTTTTAATGATTATACATAATTTTCTTCAATTTAAGCGTGAAAAATATATAATAATAATAAATTAATGTTTTAATTGTTTTATAAATCCATATACTTTTATTAAAACTAACATATATACTTTTTATTTACGAATTCTATTAAAAATTGTATTTGTCAGTATAGGCAGAAATACTCCTTTAATACCAAAACAAATTGGCGCACGGAGCAAATAGTTGAATTGTAAAAGTTGAGTTGAATTAAATTGAGTAACAATGGTGTCTGCGGTAGGATACAAAATAAAATTTAATGGTAAATACTAGATTCACTAAGTACGAAACAGGCATGGATACTTCAGCTCCCCCAGCATGGTTTTTGAAGATGGAAAAGAAGAAGGAATAACGCAGGAAGGAAGAAGAGGAGAAAAGCGAAAGGCGCAGGAAGGAAGAAGAACAAGTCGAAAAGAAAATATGCAAAAAGAATGAAGAGAAGGCGAAGAAAGGCGAAGAAAGGCGAAGAAAGGCGAAGAAAGGCAAAGAAAGACGAAGAAAGTAGAAAGAGAAGGAAAAGGAACGGCGTAGGAAAGACGAGGAAAAGGAGAAGGAAGAGAGGCATAGAGAATCTGAGGTAGAAATAATGAATGGTTTGCTGCAAAAAATAACTTGTACATAGTAATCAGGTGTTCTATAATACAATTTCTAGATTCGAACTGAATACGGCTTTAAATCTGCCCAGCTTCTTTTTGGAGGCTCTTCTTTATTCTTATCACTTTTTATACTCCGATGCAAGGAGGTCACAGGAATTCCGTTTTGTCCAGGCACCTTATTTTTTCTGAGGAGACCAGTCTGTACCGCTTAAATTGCAAATTGAATGGCCTCTGGTAACCACTCTTGTTGCGTCGTCTTTCGCGTAAAGGTTCGTATATCGAATCGGCAAAGATATTTATTTTTATTGTTTATAAGAAGTAGGTAATAACATGTGGGATAAAGTGAAATGATATTGATGGGTTGCAGTGGAAGGCGATGAGGCCTCAGGGAGCTTAAAAGATAACTTTTCATGTTAACACAATCTAATAAATTGATTTAACGAGTAAAATATAGATAAATATTACTGTTTCTGTATGTACACTTCCAACAACGTGTTTGGTGAGTAATGATAGAAATACTAGCAATTACACTCACTTGCAGAATTAGCAAAATTATCGATATGTATATATCGCTAAAAAGTGGTCGACATGCACATCTACGACTATCAAGTGTCAACTAACCATACCATGACACGCTTCGTTTGCTGAAGACCAGGGTTGACAGATCTTTGTAATGAAAAAGCGGGACACTGTCGTTTCTGCAAAAGGACCACAAATTTTTTAGAGCTACGCTTAATTTTGTTAGGAGTTCAAAATACGGACAAAAAACAAAATATTCTTTATTAGAATAACAAAATAAACGCTTTACAATAAAACAACAGAAGACATCATTTATACCCTATAAACACTTCAGGATATCATAACAGGAAACATCAATATTTATACGCTATACATAAACAACTTGAATAAGAAATAGCAACTTTAATTTAAATTGGCATATTTTTGACATGACTTTTTTTTGACATGACTTTTCTCTCAGATAAACAAATGAATAATAGATAAATAACGGTCTAGATGTGTTTGAAGCTAATATGGACCGTTTTATCTATTGCTTTCTCTTTCTTCTTGGTCTTTGATCTGATTCGTCTATTTTAAATAGCAGCGCGCTTTACTCACAACTGTCAACAAGCATTTGGGAACTGTCAGTTTTGTTTGTACATTTTGTGTGATTTTATATTCCCAGGGCATATTTTTAAAGTTTTTAGAGTGTCTAGAATGTTTGTTTAACGAATTTTGTTAGTTGCAAGCCTAAAAATTATTTCAATGTTTGTTTGCCCTAAAACAAATTTGGAGAAGTTCCACGTCGTTTCAAAGGTAAGTAAATAAAACACATGGGCGGTACACCTATATTGTAAAATATTAGTATAATTTTTTACGCAGGCTTCCTACAAACTAAAGCAATGGAAATTTGTATTCAAATCCTAGAATTAGAGAAGGCTGAAGTTGATAAAATTAATATAAATTGGATATATAAAACATATTGGAAATTATTTTGTTATGAATTCTGCCGGAAAAGACGAATTTAAAGCTGGAAGCAATTCCTATTTTATTCACTTCTCAACTTGGTCCATCTTCAAGTAAGTTATACAAGTAAATTAAAATAATATTATGTATTACAATACCTAATACAAATTATTCATACATTTTAAACTTGGAGATTAAATTTAAAAAATAAATGCTATATTGTATTCTCCTAGACAAAGTAAAATAAATCTTAGGCTTTCTGGAAAGAAAACGTTTTATGAAAATATAAACTACTCCAAAGAGTTTCTTGTATCTTAGCAATGAAATGAATTATACTTATAGAATGATTATGTTGTAAATATTTTATAATTCTTTTTAGGGAAAATTTACTTCCTAGTGAATGTAGTGAAAGACAGAGTCTAGAAGAGATTTATAATTATAATATGCACATACTGGATCAGAAAATTCAAGTTGTTCCACCGACATTGCTCCAGAAGCTATAGAATAGGTTATTCAAATTATAAAGAAGACATCTATAAAAATGCCCAAATTCAGAGACAAAAAGTTATGCTAAAAATAATAGATACATTTAAAAATTCCCGTTTTTAAAAAATTATTGGTTACATATAATTTTGGAGATTATTAAAATACTTAAGTATATATAAAATTCCAAAAACTTTAAAAACATGTTAAAAGTTTCTAAATGAGAAGTGTGTTTAATCTAGAACAAGTCAAAGGGGGTTACTTTCTAACTTTCAGCCGAAAATGCATATCAACGAAAGCACCAAAGGGACTTCTCAACAAAGTTCAAAAGTTCGATCACCAAAACGACAAGCATGTGATTATGGTATTCTCTAATGCTAGACGATTTTGCTATTCGTATGTGATTTTAATTTTTGTTGTAAGCTGTCATAATAATTATAAATCGAAAATGCTGATTTGTCTCAATATCTATGGTTAGTATTTGAATCTCATTATTAAAATTATAAACTCTATTAGAATATATTAAGGCCAATTTCAGAATTGTAAGGAATCAAAAACAATAAACATCATACATTTGCTCATATTTTAATATTTAAGTCATAATATTTAGGTAGGTATATATTTTAATGTTTGACTTATCTACTTTCGAAAATATTAGCCTTAAATGTCAAAACTAGAAGTACGAACAGCAAAACGCTACTCTTGTGTAAACTTTTTTGAATGCGCTTTACTATTTTCAAATACGAACAGCACAACAAGTAGAGAATACCAAAACGTTTGTGCTTTACACTTTTGCTAGTTGTCGCGATTATGGAGAGAGCTGAGTGCTTTCAAAAACGCTGGTTAGACAAATGTTTAACTCAGCGAAGTAGAAGAAGGTTTCAATCTAGAATATCTGTCAATATTCGCTTCTAACATATTTATTTAAGAGACCAAAAATTATATAGTGAAAATGCATCAGAAGCAGTTGAAGTACCTATGTATCTAGTATTAAAATAATTCAATTTGGTGAAATACATTTAAATGTAATATGTAGCCCATGCACAACTTCGGTTCTTATGGGATTTCCATTATATTTCTTTAAAAATAGACACTCCACTAACCAATTTTATCCTTTTTTTATTTATAATTACCACTTTTGATATTTTTATATTGAATTTTTTTATTAATTTTATATTGAATTTTTATATTTAATTCT